GGGTTGGTTGGGTTTGTTTTCCCACCAGAGAGGAGTTGGGGAACAAGGCTGACGTGGGTCTGGACTGGTCTGTGTCCTCAAGTGACTGGCGGCTCATGAAGAAGACCTCAGTATGGTCCTTGGAGTCAGGTAGTTCACAGGCAGAAAGACACTAGAAGACAGGGCAAGGTCTGCAGAAGTTACACTAGCTCAGCTGAAGGTTTGAGAAGTAGAAGTGGCAGCCTCTGTCCTGAAAAGGAGGCCACATCATGATTCTGCTTCTCGGTGCATGTACTGTCTAGCGTGTGTGGCCCAGTGCTGTCATAGGGCTTCAGTGATGACAAGGTGCATGCATCAATGCAGGAACAGTAGGGACCTTATGAGATCAGGTATCAATGAATTTTTCCAAGGCTTTAAAGAGCACTCTAGTCAGCCAGTGGGAGTTTAATTAGTCCCTGATACCACACTGAGGCACACCCTAAAGAGGTGACAAAGGCATAGCCCTTGCTCTCTCAGTATTTGTGGGGTGACATCACACTGTACTGAGGAGAAATCTGCAGTAGTGTACCCCCAGAAATCACGCCCACTGGAACCTCAGCAAGTAACCTACTCTGTAGCTATAATTAGTTAAGGATCTCAAGATGTAGTCAGCATGGATTTAGGGTGGGCTTTAAATCCAATGACTGGTGTCCTTTTAATGAGAGGACACAGAGATTCAAAGGGAAGAAGGCCATGTGAGGATGGAGGCAGTGACTGGAGTGATACCAAGGAAAGCCAGGGACCACCAGGAGTTAGGAGAGTCTAGGAAGGAACCTTCCTGGGAGGATTTGGAGAAAGCATGGGCTGCTGATGACTTCAGACTTCTGATGCCCTGGACTATGGAGAAATAAATATCTGTCATTTGAAGCCACTCCAGGACAGGACTACAGAAGCCCCCGAGATGATGCAGGGGGCTTGCCATAGGTTCCTGCCTTTTGGAGGAATGGGTTTAATGTCTGCCGCATAATTGACCACAGCTATGTCATGTGACCTCACTACCCTGGTCCTCCATGGCTGGACAGGGAAAGGCATCCATGAGGTACCTGGTCGCTCTGGGTTGGGATTGGGGGCCCTTCTACCACTCTGTGATTTGAAGGAAGGACACATGTCCCAGAGAGAGGTTGGTGGGCGCTGAGGCAGAAGCTATGAAGTGGACATCACAAGCAGGCAGACTTGGAGAAGCAGCAAACTGCTCTAATGGGGGCAGGGGGAGGTGAGAGGGAGAGGGAATCTGCTGTTGAATGCTGGGAACAGCAGCTTTCAGTTCAATTGATTGCTGAATGTGAGCAGGTGCATGGACCTCTCTGAGGTGACAGTTCCCTAACACAGGCTGAGGTAGAAAGGAAACCAAGTCCAGTGGGAATTAACCAAAATGCCAGCAATGGCTAAGGAAAGTGGGGCAGCTGAGAGACTGCAAGGGATTCTGGAATGTCTGTTTTATGTAAAAAAAAAAATCTGTGGATTTTGATAAGAAAATCAAGTTAGAGCTTATAAGCTATGTATTTGCGTTCTCTAGACTTGCTTATATGTTTGAAGTATTTTATATTAAAACTTTATTTTGAAAAAAAACTTGGAAAGAGGAATGTTAGACTTAAAAAAGGATGATTTTCTATGTCAATTAAGCCTTTTATAGCACATGTGATTTACCCTGTGTAAATGGGAATTTGGGTTTTGAAATACATCTTGAATTTGAGTTATCATATAAACACATCATCAATATAAAGGTTGAAATTGCTTTTTCCCCTAAGAGGAGCCAAATATTTAACTTATGGGAAGAGTGCAGATTCTTGAAGTATTTGACCCTGTGTAGAACTTTCTTCATAGGATGATTCTGCTTTGAGACCTTCCTTAGTGGAATATTTTTAATTTTTTTCCTCCAGAGCCAGTTTATTTCTCAAGGTTGTTCCCCACTGAATTTAAACAGGAGTACTTGTGCAATCATTGCCCATAGCAAGACTCCATCCTTGAGGTTTGTAGCCAACATGGGGATTGTTTTCTGGTTTCAGAACAACCCACGTCACAAGAGGCCACTGTATGCTTAGCTCTTGTACATTGAAGTTGTGTAATTGTTCCCAGATCTTGCTCCCAGGGTTCTGCATATACTCTTGGTAATGTTCTATGGGCTTTAGGGGTGAGGTAGGGCACTGAGTTCATGCTCGGCAAGTCAGGCAAGCTCTAATTTGCTTCTAAGATGGTTGAGGTGCAAGGGAGCACTATTTATGGAGCCTTGAACCCCTTCATTATGAGCCAATGCTGTTCATTTTTTGGGTGTCTGTGGAGGTATATAATTACCCTTCCTTTGGCTATGAACTTTTGGTGTATGGAGAGGCCACACACCCGAAGACCTCCTACAACTAGCAGTGCCTTTCTGATTTCTTAGAGGAGAGTTTTGGTGATCTCAGTCAGTCCTCTGGGACTTGACCTGGGCAAGAACAAAGGACCCCAAGTAGGCTAATTGTGACACAGGGGAACTTCTGCAGCCAGAGATGGGCTTTCAGGTCTTGGGCTTTTCCCATTATTTGAATGAACCACCCTTTTTTACCTTTTAGCAATAAGAGTGTCCATGTCAAAATGTCACCATGTAAATGAAAGCTCTCCCTACTTAAAGCTGGAACAATTTGAACAAGAAAACAAATAAAGTAATAAAGCATTATAGCTCAAAGTGTATATCCAGGAGCCTACACTGATATAGATAGATGATTGATGAATAGGAGAGAAGAGACAAGTCCCATTTGCAGAACAATTCTAAATAATTTGTGTAGCCATGCAGAGTAAAGGAAGTGGAGCACACCATCTTACTCCAAAGCATGTTGTGTGACTGTCACAGAATGGATTTAAACAAACCTAGATGGCTCATCCTATCACACTGAGGCTATGTGGTATGCACTATTTTATATGTGGCCTGTCACTGGCTGAAGTTAGATGGCATATGACCGACCATATTAGAGACATTCTTCCTCAAGGTGAGATCTTCCTCACACATTTTCTGGGATGCTACCTTTTGCAACTTGTTCCTTAGGCTCTATATGTCCCAGCTTTTTACAGTGGGGGGAGCTTTGGGCTGTAGGTCCTTTTAGGTCAAGGTCCTTGAAGAGCACCCTGTGGAGGAGAAGACCTGTGTGGTGTGTTAGGGTTGTGCAGTCCTATATGACCGACCTGTGCGGCCACTGAGGACTTCAAATGTGGCTGACTGAGAGGATCAGGGAGCTCACAAAATAGACCAGATTTTATAGCCCCAATGCTGGTCTCCACAAAAGAATGTAAACTACCTCATTAATGATTTTATATTGATTGTGTATTGGATTGATAGTATTTGGATGTATTGGCTTAAATAAAATATATAATCATTGTTAATGTCACCCATTTGTTTTTATTTTTTAAAAATGCACCTACTAAGACTTTTAAAATTACAGTCATCCTGTCAGTATCCATGGGGCTGGGTTTCAGGACCCTAGAAGACAGCAATATTTGAGGATGCTCAGGTCTCTTCCATGAGATGACAAAGTGTTTGCACATAGCCTGTGCATATTCCTCCTATACACTTTCAGTCATCTCTGCAGTACTTATAATGCCCAATATAATGTGAATTTCATGTAGTTATTACATTGTTTTTTAGGGACTAATGAACAGTAACAGAGTTTGGATGTGTTTGGTACTGATAAGATTTTTTTTTAAATTTTGCATCTTGGCTTCGTTGAATCCATAGGTATGGCATCAGTAGATCTCAAGGGCTGACTATAGGTGATTTTTATTGGATTTCTACAGGACAGTGGTGCTTTGAAGGAAAGGGATTGGGGTCAATTATGTAGTCTCAGAGTCTTGAATGTTCACCATTTCCTGAAGAATTAAAGGGCACAGGTGAACATTCAAGACCCTGAGAAGTCCTGCAGGAAAGGATCTGTTTAACCCCAGGGCATGGTCAGGATAGGGAAGGGAAAATATAAATATTCGATTGGCTTTTCTCATAACCCACTTCTCCATATTGCTCCAGTCCTGTACAAACATCTCCATTCTCAGTGATGTTTCTGATCACTGTCTTTAAAGCAATGTTCTCATGCTAAGGACACTCCATCATATCATTTTGCTTTATTTTTCTTCACATCCTTTCCTCCTGGCTAAAATTAATTATGTACATCTGTCAGGGTCCTTGTAGGAAAAAGGTGGCTCTGAAAATGGCTGATTTGAGGAATTCAGTGAAGGACTATTTATAGAGGTGGGGCAGGGTTGAGGGAAACAATAGGCATCTATTGAACCCTGGTGCTGGACTCAGCTGAGAGCTGCCATCATTCCTGACCTTGAAGGGGCAAGTGTAGGAGGAAGTCATCAGTACCCAGAAAGGGAAGTTGGGCAGAGGAGGCTTCCTGAGAGGATCGAGGGGTGGGATGCACAAGTCAGGGGACACAGTCCACCTGCAGCAAGCTTGCAGGAAGGGTACTGGGGAGAATTAGTATGAAAACCTTCCTGACCCCAGTTCTGGATCTCATGCCAATTGTTCCCTGTCTAAATCCTCCAGAAGTCAGAGGGGAAGGAGTCTGCTCAAGTAATCCATCTGGACCACGGTTGATTCCCCCACCCCCACCCCCAGAACAGTAGCTGAAAAAGTACAGGGATGTTGTTGATTTGCTTAGCACATATGTGCTTAATACCTATTTGCTGAATAAGCAAATGAGTACATCCTGCTATCATGGTTGGGTATGATATGTGAGTGTCACCCAAGGGTTCATATCTTGAAAGCATGGCCCTCAGTGTGCAGTGTTGGGAAGTGATGGGACCTTTAAGAGGTGGACCTACAGGGAGGTGGTTAGGTTATTGGGACCCATCCCCAAAGGAATAGCAGAGAATAAGAGAATTCTTCTTGGAACTGGTTAATTATTGTGAGAGGGAATGTTATAAAAGATCAAGACTGTGCTCTTCCTGCTATCTGATTTACTGTCTCACTATTCTCTCTCTCTTTCTCTCTCTCCCTTCTTCCCTCCCTCCAGATGCCACCTCTAAATTGTGATGCAGCCTAGAAGGTCCTCACCAAAGGCCTGAGCAATGGGGCTGACCCTGGACTCTCAGCTTCCAAAACTGTAAGCTAAATAAACCTCTTTTCTTTGTAAAGTACCCAGACTTAAGTATTTTGTTGCAGAAGGGAGAAATGGACCAAGACAGTTGATTGTGTTCAAAAGCCAAAGGCACTGAGGTCTTAAGTGCTAGTAATCTTAGGTAACAGAGTTAATCTATATGTCTTTTGGTTTTTTTTTTTTAGCAAACTCCTTATTGGAGTATAGCATGCATGTGTGTGTATATATATATA